TTGCATAGTTTACTAATCTTTTTTCTTAAACCTTTCTTTTCACTATAGTTTATAGTATGTATAAGTCAGCATGGTCCCAAATCATTGAGTTCCATTCATATATATACATATAAATTTATATACATGTAAATCTTAAGTTGTATAATTAAGGTCATATGCAGGAGAAACCTAAATGTTGTTTGTATAAATGACTCTCTTGCTTACAATTCACTTTAAACTGGGCCACAAGGTCCTTGTATTATATGGTTGAAGTTGGCTGTGTTTATCCCTCTGAATGGAAGGTGTTTTCTACATGTTTCTGTTTTATATACACCAATAGTACTTCCCATATTTTAGTTGAATGTTTAGTTGTTATCCTTACTGTGTTACTTACTGTGACAGCACAGAGTCCCTGTAGACTCATGGAGAACATATGTGGCTTAACCATTATTCATGGAAAATTCACTTTTGTACCTAGTTAATGTAATAATTCCCCTTGGGCATGCTTTGCCAGTTGCCAGTCTTAATATTGATAATCTTTCTCTATTGTGAAAATCAAAACTATGAATTAGCTTTGTGTGGACAACATTATGTGAAAGCTGTCCACTTAAAATTTCAAAGTAGATGCTTGATATTTCAAGAAGAGAAGTTTTTTTAACCAAAGAAAACTACAAAGTTGTTTATATACCTCTGACAATAATTACTTTGACTAGAACTTAAGGAACAAATTTCTGGGGAAAATAAAAGGTAATTTCTTTTAATCTTGGAAATCTTAAATGCAGAATCAGTAATACTCATGTATCTGCAACTGACAGTATTTTAAAATGAAGAAGTATGGTAAGTTATAATGCAGTGTGTTTTTTGGTTTTGTTTTTAATTTTTGGCTGGCAGCCATATTTTTTTTTTCCCAAGCAAAATAAGGAATGCTATTTGGAGTTGTTTGATTTTTGATAATGAACATCAACTTGTTTGTGGGACAAATAAGCAATTATCTATGGGTTCCACCAATGTAAATGGTTCCAGTTTTGCAGCTGGTTGTCACGAATGTTGAATATGTTGCATTAAAATAAATAATTTGGCTTACTCTTTTATTACTGTACTTGTTTAGTGGTAACGTCACATTGATAACACAATTCTGTGTAGATCTATGGAGACCGATGATTACTTCGTAATTAATAATTAAGGTGCTATTTTCAGACAGTTGCGCGAAACTTTTTCTCCGAAAATTTGTGAACCCAGCCAGAGACCAGCTGACAGGTTTAATTTTTCTTTGCCCCAAAAGCTCCTGTTTTTGTTTTTTTTTTGTTTTTTTCTTTTTTCCTTTTTCTTTTTTTGTGAACAAGTTTTAAAACTAACTGCTGAGACCATTTTTTTTTTTAATTTTAGAGAAAAATAAATAAATAACACAAAGTGATGTTACCCAAGCAAGGCCTTCTAATAAAGGAGTGGTCCCCTCACCCATCCCTCCCTACCTGTGCAAGTCCTGCTCACATCAGTTTCCTTCCATCCAATTAGGCGACCTGGGAGACCCAGCCAGTACCGCCCAGACGGACTTCGGAGTGGTGATGGGGTACCTCCAAGAAGCTTACAGGATGGAACCAGGGAAGGTTTTGGACACTCCACATCACTCAAAGTTCCACTGGCTCGATCTCTGCAGATTAGTGAAGAACTACTGAGCAGAAACCAATTGTCCACAACTGCCAGCCTTGGGCCATCTGGATTACAGAATCATGGACAACACTTAATATTATCCAGGGAAGCCTCTTGGGCGAAACCACATTATGAATTCAACCTCAGCCGTATGAAATTCAGGGGAAATGGTGCACTCAGCAACATCAGTGACCTTCCTTTTCTTGCAGAAAATTCTGCCTTTCCAAAAATGGCACTTCAAGCAAAACACGATGGAAAAAAGGATGCGAGCCATTCATCTCCTGTAGATTTAAAGATACCACAAGTTCGAGGAATGGATCTTTCTTGGGAGTCTCGCACTGGTGATCAGTACAGCTATAGCTCTTTGGTAATGGGTTCACAAACGGAGAGCGCGCTTAGTAAAAAATTAAGGGCTATTCTTCCAAAACAAAATAGAAAAAGCATGCTAGATGCTGGACCTGATTCTTGGGGCTCAGATGCTGAGCAGTCTACCTCTGGACAGCCATATCCCACATCGGATCAAGAAGGAGACCCTGGCTCCAAGCAGCCTCGGAAGAAAAGAGGGCGTTACAGACAGTACAACAGTGAGATACTGGAGGAAGCAATCTCAGTGGTTATGAGTGGAAAAATGAGTGTTTCCAAAGCTCAGAGTATTTATGGGATTCCCCACAGTACACTGGAGTACAAAGTAAAAGAGAGGCTGGGCACTTTGAAAAACCCTCCAAAGAAAAAGATGAAATTAATGAGGTTGGAGGGGCCAGATGTTTCTGTAAAGATTGAATTAGATCCCCAGGGAGAGGCAGCACAAAGTGCAAATGAATCAAAAAATGAGTAGGAATACTGTAGAGTGCCAATTACTGTACAGACTGGGTGAGCACTACTGCATTGTTTAGCTATCATTGCTTGCACCTAACTTCATTTACTGTGACACTTGTTTCTTAGCAAATTTTGCCATTGACTTGTGTGTACAGAGATGAAAGGTGCATTCAGAATGTGCATATTTTAAAATTTCCATGTGCAGTATGGCTCGGAATATTGTTTGGCCTTTTGCATGTTTCTCTACAAAAGAGAATTGAGTTACCTCACAGAGAACACAGATACATGGAAGTGGACTCCTTGCCTGTAGAGCCTGCATGCTTTTTTTCATTTTTTATTTTATTTTATTTTTCCCTTAAGTTATATTTACCTTTTTTGGAAAAAAAAAAAAAAAGAAGAGAAAAAGCCCCCTTTTAGAAATCACCTCTGTCATACTGGGAGCTTTATCATTGCAAATTGAAAAGTCATCTTATAAAATTATTCACATTTTTACTTCTAAGATTCAACTAATTGAAGGATTAAACTAAAGAAAAACTCATAAGAAGAATAATGAACTCTTTGAACTCAAGAAATTTGGTTATCCAATGATCAATTTACATTTTATAATTTTCTTGTCACTATTAAATTTACCTAATAAATCAGCAATCTATTCAGTGCTCACCCAGAGGGGTAGGAGGTGGAAAAGGTACACACACTACCTTCAGAAATACTTCAGTTAATTACTTTGTAACACTACCTTTGTTGTAATTTCATTTGGGATTTTCTAAGGGTAGGTAGAATTTGGTCTCACCAACAAGTGAGGATATAGCCTTATCTCATGGAGGACGAGCTCCGTTCTTACTCAGGAGCAGTCAGGGTACATTACATAAAATGATAGAGGATGCCTCATTTTAGCAAACTAGGTTTCTTTGTATTCTTAAATCCTTTTACAGATTTGATCATGTCCTAACTAACTACTGAATGTTGTATTAAGTAATTTAAAACATTCAAGATTTGTTTATTGGGGATGGGAGAAATAAGGAAAGAAATGTGTATAAGTAACTATGATATTGCAAAAGTGATACCTAGGTTTTACAGCCTCAGTAGTCTGTCCAAATATCCGCACTAATGATGAATGATTCATGTCTGTGGTGAGAGAAAAAATACAACCCCAAGGTAACCTAATATGATTTAGGTTGTGTATCAATTGAATCAGGAGTCAAGCTCATTGGAGTTTCTTTTTAATTAATCCAAATACTAGTACAAGGGTGGTCTTTCGTTTTGTTTTTTAGTTTTTATTTAATTTTGTTGGTTTGATTTTTTTTTTTTTTTTTTGGCATCCTACATAATATCCCCTCCTTAACACTTTCTGATATTTACCTGATTTTCATGGTTGTTAGCACACAGTTAAGGACCTTTCAGATCATGTTTGTGCAAGCACTCCTTGAAGAACATCTAAGCTTTTTTTTTTTTTGAGATGGGTTTTTACAGTTAGAGTGATTAACTTTGGAAAGTTTATTTCTTACGGTTTTTTTCAAAAATAGCTGATAACTGAAGCCCATAGGATTTAATTTTGCATTGTGACCAAATTAAAATTACTCTTTGTGCAAAACAAAATCCATACCACATACACCCTATATCCTGATATGCTGGGAAGGATGGTCAGGCCATTCTAGTTTTCTAAATGCTTAGCAAAATAAGAAAAAATCACTGGAGTGTTTTGTAAAATGAAATCAAACTTAGAGCACTGGTTAAATTGAGGTTGATGATTTCAGATGGCTACTAACAGTGTGAGGAGAAGTAGGTCCAGATATTCTCAAGGCATAAATTCTTGCCTGGAAACTTTGGAGCAGTTAATTAAATTAGGTTAAGGATGTTTTCCCTCAGCAACCTATGTGTTCAAAGGTTAGGCACACCATTGCTGTTGTTAAAATATATGCACTGCTCATTCTTGACATAGTCTGGGCTTGCGTTCCTCTTTTGGTTTGGTTATTTTGTGTAGCAGTTTAATGAGTGGATGGCTGAGCCTGTTTCATCTTAGCTTTCTAGTCTTCGCAACAGAAGAAGCAGTTTGGGTTCAATAGCAGTATATGACTCTGCAGTATTTTCCAGCCTAGCTGGAAGTTGCAATAAAAACGCATTATGAAATGTATGATTTTCATCTGCAGTTGAAGGAAGTTGTAGAAAGTTTGCTGAAAGCAAAGGGTTAAGCTTATGAAGAAATGACTTTGTTCCACACTTAAGAATTTGTCAGCACACAACTAATTGTAGCCATGGTGTCTTTTTGCATGATATTTGGGGTATTCAGTAGTCCAAGATTGCTGCAGAAAGATTCTTTGAACAATTGATTTGTGCTTGCTTTTCTTATCCCCTCTCAGAAAGGCATCATTAAAGGCCCATTTAAAAATCTGGCCCTAAAATTCAACTTTTGTAGAGTTTTACTGTTCAGAGAGGTTTAATCCGATGTGGTAGTTTATATAAGTGATGTATGAGTTGAGTTATGTAAATTTTGTCATTGTAGTGTACATGGAGTGATCATTTTACTAACATAAATATTTTCTATGTGTGTTTCAGTGGATGACAATCGAGCAGCAGAAGAATGGTGTGCCTACCCTTTAATGCTGCAGTTTAAATAAGAGAACTTGTATTGTGTCATTTCAGATTGTAGGCTGAGAGTTGTAAATAGTGAAAATTTGAGTACTTTTTATTATTTGTTTTGGTTAGAAAGTGAATTTAAAAAACAAACCAAACTCTAAACTTTCTCAGATTAAAAGTCCTGAGACCTGAAGATTGTAATACTCATGTCTGTGAAGCTTTTAAACATTACACTTGAGATCAGTCATGACTTGATATTCAGGTAAACTTTCTTTTCCAAGAAGCTTTTGAATAAGCATATTTCCTCCAAAGGTCTCTCTCTTTTTCTTTCTTTTTTTTCTCAAAGCGTAGATTATTTTAAAGCACTAATTGCATTACACTGGTAACTGCAATATAAAATAGCCATTATTGTTTTGTGAAGCATGATTGAAATTAGATAGTGGTCCCTTTTAAATTTCATGAGCCTCTCAAAAAAAAAATAAACTTAAAAAAAAATAAAAAGCTGCTGAATATTTCAAAAGATATATATTTTACCTTATTGTAGGTTTTGTAAAGTTAGTTTGTAATATTCAGGTGCACTTTTAATGTTGAATTTTGTGTTCAGAGTTCCATTACACCATGTATTTCTTGGAGGTGGCTCATCAGATGGCTGGTTGTCAGTCTTGGTGCCGCAGTGATTCCTTAATATTTGATTTCTTTCTTGATTTGCCACTATTCTGTATTGGCACTTTCAGTGTAGATATTCTAGTTTGGGGACGTCCTCATAAATGTGTAATAGAGATTGGTCTATTAGCATGCTTAATTTCTGCTAATCAGAGTTTTGCATGGCCCAAAAAACGGTTGACCATTTTTATGGTGTGGGAAAGCGTAGTTCACAACTGTCTTTGTCACTAAAGCCTTTTTTTCTCACATTTTTCAATAGGTGGATGATGACATTACTCCAACTAATGATAGTTGAGAGATAATGTATTTAAAAATCAATTCTTGGCATTTTTATGAGAGAACATTGATATTATAGAATAGATAAGCTATGGCACTATGAAATAAAAAAAACACTAAGTTCTATGGAAGGCTGTCTTGTTGGTGTTTTTATCATTAGCTTTCTCATTTCTGAGACAGTATAGTCATCAAACTTGACAGTAATGTAGTATATTGCTTTGTTCAGTAGGCTTAGAAGTGACTCTGAACTTTGTGATGAGCTATACACATTTTTCTGTTTCAAAAATACTATGAAGGACAAGGTCTCTCTTTCAGGAAAAATAATTTATATTTGTGTGTATAATACTTTTTGATATTAAGTTTGTTGTTCTAAAGTTGAGATGTTGCTTGATAAACTTGCTGCAGCAGATCATGAATATGAGTAAGGCTTTGTGTGATAATAGGGGTCCTTATGTGAAGTTAATTACCGTTCAGTTCTGGTGAGCAAGCTCAACAAGTGTGAAGTGTGTATTAGCTTTATTTGGTACACTTTTACTTTACAATATTGAAGTGCTTTTAGAACTCTGGTTATCTTATATAAACCATTACCTCAACCAATTGGCATTTCCATTCCCCAACATTGTACCTGAGCTGTAACATGAGCTGTATGGGATCAGATGGTAAAATAATAAGGCACAATGAGAAGTTTAGTTCCTAATTTTCTGGAGAGAACTCTAAATTAGATGAACAATGACTACCTGTAAAGGCCCATATCATAACTACCTTTTGTCATTAGGCAGTACATAGCAACCTTTGGGCTGCTTGTGAGCTGTATGTTCTTCCTCTACCCCAAGTAAGCACATGGTGCCAGGCCTGGTTCTAAGCCTTTGTGAGTCTCTTACATTTTATTGCTCCATAATATAGTGAAGCTTAGATTCAGTTAGTTATTTTTATAAAACAAATTAATGAATCTTAGCTCAACATCAGAACGTGAAAAATAGTTAACAGGATATGTGACTGTTTGGTGTCATTTTATTTAATAGATACTGTCCCTGTAGATTTAATTTGGAAACTGCTTACTTTTGCTTTTATAATTCTTCTTTCTCTAACTAAATGCCAGAGGTCGTTTTCACGTGAATAACTTTTCTATATATTCAGGTTGCTGTCATTGGTGATAGAATGTGGCAACAGACCGAATTGCTCCATTTAATGTTTTATAGGAGACATTTAAAATTAATATGTTAAGTTTTGGCCTTCATGAAGATATCAAAGATTTTCCTTATTACTTTTCCGTTAGAATTAGGTCTTCATTGATACTATGGTCAGGCCAGTGTTATTAAAAGCTTGTTGGCTTTAGCCAAACAGCCCCATTAGGAGTCTATTAAGCTATACAGGGTTTTTTTTAAAAACTAATTGCTTTCAAAATCTACTGAAAAGGAAAAAGTATAATTGTGGTAAAAGGAATGCAGACCTCCAAACTCCTTCTTCTTAGTTTATTTTGGATTCATTTTGTCCTTGATACTTGAGTAGGATTTGTGAACATGGTGACTGAAGGGAAAAGGGAGGAAATTCTTTATGTATCTTTCTTTTGTCTCTTATTCCCAAATAATCTTGCAGTAAGTAGCCTTTTAAAGAAGCAGACATTAGCCCTGTAGCATAACACTGTAGCTGTGTGCCCTAAGGTGTTATAAAAGAGCTTGGGGGATGGGAATGGAAAGAAAGGTGGGAAAGTATGTAGGCTTTTGAGAAGAGGCTAAAGGTTCTGGCCTAAAATACTAAACAGTAGTCACAGGATAGATAATGTGGTAAAGTTGGGCCATCTTCATTTGATTGTCAGAAAGTTTTTCAGATTATTTGAAAATGAGAATCAAGGCTAGTTGATGTTGATTTGACAAACAATAAATCATGAATTAATCTTGTAACTATTTTGGGGGTAAATTTAAGGTTTCCAGTTCTTTTAGAGCTGTATTAATAAAAGCTGAAAAACAAGCACTTTTAGTTAATCATAGATTTATTGGATGTAGCAAACATTTTAATCATAATATTTAATCTTTATTGTTTGAATGTGGAAATGAACTTTTTACCCTGTCTTGAGCTGTCATTGAACAGGCTCAAGATCTTTTCAACACTGGAAATGACCCTACACACATACCAAAAAAATCTAAAGCAGTAAGACATATTTGAAGATCCATACCTCTTAGACTTTTTAGATTTGTCTTGGGAAAGAATTTATGAACCCATAACCAGTATTAGTGCAGTCTTGGGTTCCTTGTTCTGCATAATTGCACCCTTTCTCAGGTATGTCCTGAAAACATAAATTTTAAAATAATCTCTTTAGAGATTAGATTCTCAGTGGATAGTGTGTAAGGGGACTGGGGGTGGGAGAGTAGGGTAGTTGGACACAGGACATTGACACAGTAGAGCAGGGATTTTTAACCGTCAATAGCCAAATAGAATTTCAATCTAGAATATATTTGCCCCCTCCAAATGAGTGAAACAACTCCTGTTTAAGTTTGGTAAATATGCAGTGCTGCACTCATAAAAGTCATTTCTTTCATGCAGTTGACTTTTTTTTCTTGCTTGGTGGAAGGGTATACAGTAAACTTTACTGTCACTAGGAAAGCACTTGTCTGAAACTTTTGAAGTACTAGAAAAGGGATAATTCAGCACTTTTTCTGTTACAACACTAAAGTCTTAATTTATCTTCAGAGTCTTAGGTACTGTAAGTTTTAGGATGATTATTTAAAAATATAAAACATACTACATACGTAATATAGGGTCAGATCACATTTATATAAGTAATTCTTATTTAAAAAAAAAAAAAAAGACAACATTTTGTACCTTTTAAGCAATTCCAAGTGATTGCCTCGTTATCCCCATTTCATTAAGCCATTTCAGGCTTAAGAATTGAAATTTCAGAGGAGGTGAGGGGAAAAGTCCCCAAAATGAAAAATTATGTCAGACCATGTTAGAAAAATAAACCACTAGGAAAAATGGGTAGGGATTCTCTCCCTTTAAGTCTTCAGGGAATGAGCAGTATTTAGAATCTTTGGCTGAAATTCAAGCCTTTTTACTGTGTAAATTTTTAATATTAATTCACTGACATGCTTTTTACATCAAAGGACTGAAAATGGATCTTAATGTTTTTAAGTTGTAGAAGGGTATATTTCTAAAATGAGGGGGGATAATTAACCTAGGTAGTATACCAGCATTAGTAAGTTTAAGAAATTTTAGTATGTAATAGCAAAGTGTTTGATTAAAAGTCTAATCCTATATTGCTAGTCAAAAATTAGTTACATTCTGATCTAGGAAAGATATAGTCATTGGATATTGGTATGCTGTGCTGTCAGAAAACCAGATTAAGAAATCTTTATCTGACTCCCACATGTTGCTTGTTCTGATGGGATGTGTACTTTACAGCAGCTTATTGCTGCTTTGAAAAGAAATGTATAAAATACACATTTGGAGTGTTTGCATATAATTCTTTATAACCTCCACTTTAAATTGTCAGACATTGGTATTTTATCAGTCCACACTGTTAAATAAAACTAATGTTCTTAGGAATCCAACTTGTACACACTGTTTAAAAACCCTCAGGGACAGTTTACACACTATTCTCACTCAATTCAGGTACTTTGATGCTATTCTTAAACCTAACAGTGACTTGTATTTTTCTGTTTTGCTTTTATTTCTACGTGCTGGTAGCACATCCTTGATGAATGTCAACTTAAAAACTCAGTTCAGGTATCCAGGTATAACTCAGCCAAACAGATTTTAAAGCTGCATATAACTCTCCAGCACACGGTGCCTCACACTCTTATAGTGGCATTCTATATATTCAGTTATTACTACTGAGCAGATAATATGGGGGTTCCTGTTAACGGTATATTTAAAAAAAACAAAATGTGCAAAAATGTATAGCCAGCACACCACACACACACGCACGCACGCACACACGCGCACACACACACGGTTGAATGATATATTTTCAAATGCCACTAATAGCCAGCACAATTAACATTCCTTGCTGCTTCTGTAAACTATAACAGATGCAGTTCCTCCTTGATGTGGCTCTTGCTTCTTCACCATAGCTACTACTAAATTCAAGCACTGGTCCTTGGGTGTCTGACCTCTACATTCTAGTTTATGCAATGTCTTTAGAGAATTCTGTGCACTGGCCACTGTGATGGAACCATTGGGCCAGGAGTGCTTTGAGTTTATTAGTAGTGATTCTGCCAAAGTTGGTGTTGTAACATGAGTATGTAAAATGTCAAAAATTGGCAGAGGTCTATGTCTGCTTCTCAGCAGATGATTTTTCGGTATAATTGGTAGCCTTGAAGTCCTCACTGACATGTTCTTCTGATGTGAAGTTCTAATTCCAGTGTTTTAGTCCTTTGCATCTTTAATGTTAAGACTTACCTACAAGAGGTCTTTATTCTTAAAAACTCCTTTTTTCCTTAGTACTATCTGTGCTTAACAAAGTAGATTATTCCTCTGCTTTAATATTTGATATCTTACATTTAAAGAAATTCTCTCCATATATAAAGCGCATAGCCTTTGAAGATACAGAAAATGGCATTTTCCAGATTTCTAAAAGTTCAAGTATCATGCAACAAACCAGGAACCCCCTTTACTCTTATGGACCTCATTTCAATATACTGTTTACAGTTTGACAGAATTGTATAATTTAATATTTCTCTTGTACTGTAGTTTATATTTATTTACAGATTTTTTTGTACTGTGTGATTTGAACTTTTTGTTCCTTGCTATGATCAATGTTTATGTAGTAGAGCACTTATGATCACAAATTAAGTTTTTTTGTTTGATTGCACTACATTAAATTTTTTAATGCAGTTCTGATTTTTGACTGGACTAAAATAAGCTGTGTCTTAATGTATGTGATGAGTACTTAAAACTTTAATCCATGTGGTCCCCTTTTTTTTGCATTGTATGTCAGAAGCGCTAGTTCTTTCGTGCATGTGTAAGATTTAATGGTTCCATTGTATTATTTGACCAGGACATTTTGGAGAAACATTCCCAGCTGTAATGTTGTGTATGGTAGTTCTCACTGGATGCTAGACTTTTCAAAACCACTATTCTTCTAATAAATTTTGTTGTGAAAAAACTTTTAAAAGCTTGGTTTCTACTTAAGATTTTAATGGTTTAAAAAACTGACAAAAGGAGTAAGAGAAATGTAAGTCACGTGATAACCAAAGTTGGTAATTTTTTATGATAAATTCTTCCCAGATGAAATCATTTCGATGACTAGAAGTTGCTACTACAAAATTGTGCAGCAGTCTTCCGGTGCAGCACTACCTTATAACTCAGTACAGTCATGTGCTACATAACATCCGTTTGGGCAACATCCGCATATATGTGGTCACATAAGGTTTTTTTTTTTATTATTAAGGGAAACAGCTTTCCTTTTGTTAATTATTTCTTCCTAATGGTTTTAAAGGCCCCAGACCCTCAGAGTGAAAGATCACTGGGGGCTCCAGGGTGCATCCCAATCTGTCAAAGCGCCGCCGCCTCCGCGTACTTCTCTTCCTTCCCCTCCTCCTTGGCTTCATTCACCGGCCCAGCAGCGGTTGCAGGCTCCTGGCTCTGGGCAGCAGAGGTGGCTGCACCAACAGGGCCACCGCGCTAGCTGCGCTCCCAGCACCCAGATTCCCTGTACCCGCGGCCACCTTCCGTGCGTCCCCCACCCTGCGCCAGGTGCGCGCAAAGTCCCGATCTGATTGCCAGTACAGCTGTTGCCCGACCTGCGGCCGCACATGCGATGAAGTCTGGTACTACCTTGAATGTTAAAGCAGAAAGGGTCCTCAGGGTCATCTAATATAATCGTTTTCATTAAAAATCAACTTTTTAAGAATACAGATGCCTGTACTTCGCTAGATTGCTGAATCAGTTTCTGGGAGTGAGGCTCAGACATGTTACGTATTTTCAAAAAGTTCCACGGGGAGAAGGTAATGAACCCACTAATTAAGCACTATTGGTCTCATTTCTCTCATTTTTCAGGTGACAAACATAGAACTTGGGGAGCTTAAGGGACTTGTCCCTCCTCACACACAGAGGTGCCCTTGGTACTCATGATTCCAAACCATTATAATTGTCACTTTGGCGTGCTTGACTCTATCTAGAATTAGAATGAGATTTTTTATCATTTGCTGTCGAGTCAACTGATTCATGGTGACCCCATGTGTGTCAGAGTAGAACTGTGCTCCATATAGTTTTCAATGGCTGATTTTTCAGAAGTGGATCATTGGGACTCTTTTAAGGCACCTTAGGGTGAACTTGAACATCCAACCTTACAGTTAGCAGCTGAGCACATTAAACATTTGTACTACCCAGGGACTCCTTTAGATTCAGTTTTTACTAAATAACTAAATGTCAACTATTAATTCAGTTTGACTCTTGAGTAAACTTATACTGGTTTTTAGGAAGAGGATGTTAAAATAAGTCTTGGGTCATCATTATCTGTATTTATTGAGCATTTATTATGTCTACCGTAAGTTCTGTTACATTTGGTACAAAATGACAGTCGGACAAGTTTCTGGCTTCCTTGAATTTATAATCTGGTTAGTTATATAAGACATATACACACACGAGTTATAGAACTACATACTACTACTTTAAGTCTATATTATGAAATTACCAGTAAAGAAATTAGATGCCAAGCTTGCAAAACTACAGTGTTAAATAGAAATCAGTGTTTCTTCTCCTCATCCCCTTTTAAAGAAGAGTCATGAGGAAATGATCATGATGCATTTTCTCTCACTTGGGGAATGAGCATGTCTGTGTTGTGCATAAGCAGTATTATTTTCTAGTTCATCATTGCCCCTGTCATTTAAATTAGAAATTAAAGAGCAGTTTCCCCCCAAAGAGCAACATAGATTTTATTCCCACTTGGGGGGAGAAAAAAAGCAAATACAAAAACAAAAATTGAAATAGGCCAGTGCTTATCGTGAACTCACATGTAATCCTGACCTTTTAAAATGTCAGCTATGTCTTTAACATCCAGATCTCTCTTCAATCTGGTTACGATTTCAATAATTGGATAAGGCTAATGATACTCTCTTTCATTTCAGACCAGCCTGGGGAAGAGATTTGTCCTCTTTGTCTGAAATTATTTTTTTCCTGTAATCTATTTCAAAGTGTTTTCTAAGCATTCTTAATTACAATATTCATTAGATTAATAATTTAGGTTTGTGTTCTCACCAAATCAGTATTTAGTTATATCGCTTATGGATATTCCTTCCCTCACTTCCAGGAACTGTTATCATTTTTTGAATTTATGCCATCCTGTCCAAAATCTCATGTCTTCCACAGCCTCTGAACCCCTAATCCTTTTTTTAAATTTTTTTAAAATTTTAGTTAACACCAAATATGGTATGTTTGGTCTGGCATAGTCTTACTTGGGATGATAGAAATAAAAATCAATTTAAAAAGTAAACTTTAGAAGTAAATAATGTGGTAAAAGTGCTTGTTTTATAAGGCCATTACCTGCCCTAGAGAAGGGGTGAAGGTATTGATTGGACTATTGTGCTCAGTGATGTAACCCCTTGCTTGCTCTGATTTCTTGCTCACCAAATAAAGTACTAATTATACTTTTACTTTCTAAAAAAAAAAAAAACCTTTCAGAAGTAAATAGTGTGGTAAAAGTGGTTGTTTTGTGAGGCCATTACCTTCCTAGAGAGGGGGTGGAGGTATTGGACTGTTGTGCTTAGTGATGTAACTAACCCCTTGCTCTGACTTCTTGCTCACCAAGTAATTTACTGATTATATTTTTACTTTCTGTGTGCATTTGCCTATAGAATGAGTTTGTGTTAAAGAATGAACATGATAATCTCCTTGATAATATATTCCATATTGTAATTTAATAAATTTGACAATCTGGTTAAAGTGAAGAAAAATAAGAGATACGCTGAATACAACATGCAAGCCTTAAACTGTATTTTAGGAGACTTACTCTGAATAACAGCCTCTTATCAGGGATATTAAGCCCTGTAGTACAGAAAAGCTAGCAAACTGTAGCTTCATGCCCAGTAAGCTCCCTGTGAAACACCTCCCTTTTCCCCCAACTTAGATTATTAATTCATAATTTTATAAACTTTTATTTTGCCTTGCCTTAGTGAACTTGGTTAAGAACACAGTAAACTTTGAAAGCTACTACAAAGAGATTTCATGCCTTTTGTTTTTATCAGTAGTTTTTAACTATTTTTCTACTCTAACACACTTGAACAAGATGTCACGCTGCCATCAGCAGCAGTGGATCACTGAGGCAGGATTCTCACAGGATGAAGAGGTACATACTGGATTACACACACACGCGCATGCACACACACCCCACTCCCCATGATTCTAATCTCTGGGGAGGGATAATTCTCCTCAACCCCAGTTTTGAGAATTGCTTTCTTAGATGATTCAGAGTTCAACTACCTGGAAATAAGGTATTAAACTGCCAGATTTTTTTTTAGGTCACTTTCCAGTCTGTGATTTAATTAACTTTATTTCTCATTTTTCTGTCTCATCTGTCTCACCTATGCTTTTACCGTTTCTCCTAGTTCATTTCTACGGAAAGAAAACTTAGTTGTTCAATGGTTTTGAGGTACAACTTACACATGGCTTTCTAGAGTGAAAAAAGTCTCTCCACACTTCATCCACCTTCTCCACTATATATACACAGTTTTGTCATAGCCCTTGGAATATCCCTGTATCCAGGTGTAAAGGATGCACAGACAAGAAATAGCCGAGCCAGTGCACTTCAGAGTGTAGAGCAAGGACTTGTTGGCTAGCTTACTCAGGCACTTGAATATACTTAAATTTTTTCTGTGGTTAAAGCACCAGAACTGAGGATATTAGGGAACATAATTTCAGGTTATTATCTGGCAAAGAATATAACTCTTTGCCTTGCAGGAGTCTGAGGCTGTGTTTTCATGTATTCTTGTATTTAAAGAAAAGAATCAAGCCAAATTAATCTACAGCTCAACTCTGTCTGGAGTGTTGCCTCCAGCTTTCTGTCTCCATCTGTTTTCCTGGGGTTGCCTTTTTCTGCTACTAAGAACAACTCCCTTCAAATATCGTTCACTATCTCTGTTCTTTTTCAGTCAAGAAGAATGTATTTTCATCATCAGTGACACTGAATTTGTTCATCAAGCAATCTTACTGTTAGTTAGAGAACAAATATTGGAGAGTGTATCTGAACCTACCACTCCCAAATTCTAGACTCTTAAACTTGCCATTTCAGCTCTCTGCCACATCTGTTCTCTATTTGATCTGTCTTTTACCCTAAGATAACGTAAGCATTGACCATCCACCATTTATATTACCTACAAGAATGCTTTCTTTCAGAAATTCAAGTATTACAGTATTGACTAAGTAGGTGAGTTCAGCTGTGCCTACCCTCTGATCTAGAAAAATATCATTAAGTAAATCATTAAAGATAGGGTTGTGGAACAACACGATTCTTACACTACCTTTCAAAGTTTATATGAGTATTATCCTTTTACCACACCCTGAAAAATTCGACATTAAGCTGGGGATAGAAACACAAAGTGCAAGGTCATGCAGGCCATTTCTCACCAAGGAGATAAAACTAATCCATGTAGTTGGATATCGGGTTTCCATCTTTGTTTCTGTAGCCCTTTGTCCCGTTTACCAATCCCTGTGGTCTTACTGCTCTTCAGTGGTGGTGTTCAAGTATTTCTGATTGATAATTCACTTAACTATTACAGAGAGCCCTCTAGTTGGGCAGAAGAAACATAAAATGAAGTGATTTTAAAGTCTGTGATGAATTATTGTTCTGGTAAAGATCTTACTTAGTCAGATGTGAAGGAGATAATACGATACAAACTATTATCACTGAACCAAAACATAGTGTTTCCCCTTAGGTAGAGTTAAGTAAATATTCTGCAGGACAGAAAATCTCTCTCTGATTTCCCTACTTACTGCCTGATGACATTCTAAATTAATGCAAAAGCTATATTTAGGCTCTGTTAAAGATCTAAAACTATTGGAAAAATCGAATAGCTAGGATCAAAGGTAAAGACTACTGTTTAAAATTTAGACAAAACTAGCTAACACCCATTTTTCAAACATGAAAAAAGAGCAATAGAATTAAATTTTAGGGAGTTGAGGAAATTTTCAAAAATTAAATATTCAAATAATATGAAATTAAAATTTATCTAAACAGGTTCTTTTGAGAAAATTTCTGGAGAAAATCAAACAAGGTAGGAAGCTAGATAATTTAGAGACACAGTCAAAAGTGATTTTATTACTATAGTTGTAAAGTTAGTTATTATAACAGGACCATTTAATGACATCTGGTCAAAGGTTAGCATTAATGTGAAGGCTCTCATAGTCAAGCGAAGCTACTGGTGGATTCAGGCCTGTGTGTCCGGTTGCTGCCAGACATCAGAATCTTATAAGCATCTTAAAATGCAGTATGTACAGGACAGACTTCAACCAGCCACATACACACTCCAGTGACCACCAACGCCCAGCTTTGCTACCAGTGTTAGTGTCTCAGAAAATAGTGCTTCCCAGGAAGCATCCTTGATGCCTCCCTTTCCCTTCTCTACCTGCCTACCTACACTCAAGTAGTTTACTGCTTGGGAAGCTTAAAGACAAGACAAAGTAAGTCAGTAAAAGATACAAATTATACAAGGCCACGTATTTACCAATGAATTCTACAGACCACCGTGGCTTAGGGTTTCAGGAAAGGGAACAATCAATCACTGCAGGTGTGGATAGTTCTGAGTTAGCCAATGATATAGCTGATAAGAGCACCCTACACCTTACTCTGGTGACCTGTGGTTCACCAGTACATTGTCCCTCATCCTTTCTACTGGGAAAACACACATACAAACGACCCTGTTGTTTGTTGAAGTCACTGTCTTTCAAGGAAGGTTACCATTTACAGTTTTAATCTCATCATCTCCTGGGCTTCCCCAACCCACTGCTCTAAATGCCTCTTAAGGTTGGTGGAGCCTGTGTTAGCCTCTCTGATGCTAGTGTTTTTTAGCACCCAAATGCTGTATTGCATTGTTCCAGATTAAAATTCAGTGAGTCCTAAGAATGTTTTAGTGTGACTTAGTTGTAAAGACACGACCTTCACTTGCCTTGATGGTATGAAAAAGATAGCTCCCTACCTATGGTTGTCTGTTCTGTTCTGTACTTGGGGATTAGCTGAGCCATACTGCCACAGTCATTGCTTAGGAGTGGTTGCATGGCCCTTGGAAAACCTTACATTAATGAGGCTGATTAAAATATTGAGACACTATTAAATTATTGAAACGTGGAGCAGCAGCAGATCCAAGTTTCAGAATCATAAAGGAAGTTGGACATTACTTTTGCTTAGTTTTCCTGCAGTCCCTGGGTGGTGCTTGACTACTAACCAAAAGGTTGGTGATTGAAATCCACCCAGAGGCTCTTCAGAAGAAAAGCCTGGTGATATTGCTTTCGAAAAATCTATCTTTGAAAACACTGTGGAGCCCTATAGAGTGCAGTTCTACTCTGCACACATGGGGTCACCATGAGTCGAATTGACTGTACAGCAACTGGCTTGGTTTTTGTTTGTTTAGCTTCCTGCAGATGAATAATTATTCGTTTTTTTTCTCTATGTGAGCATCACCGTGGAAGAATATACTTCCTCAGTTTTCTTCAGAGCTCTCTTAATAGGCACATGCCTTGATTTCATTTATCTCCAAGCACATCGTTAATCCCAAGCTCTAAAGCATGGTTCCAGAGCATGATAGGCATGGGACAGCATCCAGAAGATTTTCTCAAAGACTTTTGGTGATGATTGTGCTGCTTGAATGAGAGAGAACTATTTATCTCTTTACTTTTTTCTACATTTAGGTAGACTTTGTAGGCTACAAAACAAGATGCCATGATATTTCTTAACATAATCTTTGCCACAGACTTTGGTCAGCCTTTTTTATATGTTGGTAAAATGCATTTAGAGTATATTATTTGATACGTTGATAAAGCAATAATGTTCTACTTATTTGCAGTCACCTACCTTGGAAATATCAGGAACATAACCAAGAGCCATGAACTAAGGAATAAAGGCCCCTAAGCGGCCAAAGTTGTTAGAAAATCCATATTCTTTATTCATTAAACTATTCCTTATGCTCTCATTCATTTATTTTTACTAAAGTACCGTTCTAGCACTTGGGATCTGATTTCTCAGCTAATGAGTAGAAGTACTCTACTAAAGGTGCAAATGAGGCCGCTAATAACATCTGCTGACTATTTGGAAGCCATTAAGAAGACAAAAAGATATTAATAAAATACAGAATATCACTAGATATTTGGATTTAGGCAGTCGGGTTAACTGAATGGCCCCCAAAACCATCAATATATTTCAATTCAGTATAGTAAAAATAAGAAGCAAACTTTAAAAATAGTGCATATGATAATGATCTTGAGTCATTAAGAAAAAAATACATTATGTTCAGTGGACAGTGTAATTTTTAAAAAAAATCCATCTAAAAATGTTAAAAAAATTTTAAGTGGTACTTGAAGGGTCAACTTATTATCTAGAAAATTCACTTTTTTAAATTGTAACAAAGCATTAATGCACATTCTTGATGTCTTGAGTTATTTTCCCTGAAGCTTGCTTGATTTGATTGGCTGACAATAACAATACTGATATTTGTGCAAACTTTGCAAGTTTTCCTTTGCAGCAATCCTAAGTGGTAGATGTGACAGATACCCTACTAAGACACAAAATAATTGTTTTGGCCAAGATCACACAACTAGTAAGTGGTAGAACTACTCACACCTGTCTTGTGTACTGTATGCTGTAACACTTATTATGCTATTGGTATCACCTGATAACACACCCACAAAGTACCTCCGCAGTGGGGGGCCCTTCAGCAGGGGCCTCCTCTTTGACTTCTCCATGAGCTACCATCCTCCTAATGCACTGGTCTCCCCAATCCCAGGTTGCTAAGTGCCCCTTGCAGCACTCTAGGAAGTCTGCAACTGCATGAGGAGTCTGCTGAGCTCCTGTGCATATTTCATTGAGTCCAAGAGTTGGAAATGACTTGTCACTTATCCAAGGGTATCACTGGTATCTTCCCTTTTCCGGAGGTAGTAGATAATATTTGCCATTTTCACAAAGCAGGAGGAGCTTCTTCCTGTTGACCATTCACATGTTGCCTTTTTAAAACCTTTTTTACTGAAGTACAGTGTACATACAGAAAAGTACACACATTATGAGTATTTGTCCAGCTCAATGAGTATCTTCTAGTTGCTTTTGAGCTTTTCTTCCCTTTGGTAGATTTTGGCCCCATTGCCAGCATGTACTTTAAAGTCCACTAAGACCATTCACCTTTTATAATACTTCTGTAATAATCATCTTTTCTTAATTTATTCACAACTCAGTGATTACTGGCGAGTTTGAGGTAGGCATTTCCTAAGACATTTTTAGTCTTCACAATCTGGTGCAATATAGGCCCTTTCAGATACCCACTAAACAAAACTTGCTTGTGAAAATAAAAACACAATGTAACTAGCCTTTTCTCTTGTAAAGCAGTTTATGTTAAGCAGCAGATGTGACTAATTAGTTTTTTGGTTTTGTTTTGCTTTGTATTTAGACACGTTTCAGCAATTTTATTCACCACCTGGTCTTAAAAATTGTTTGAGCAGCTGCTTGTTTTTGTGCTTTACATATGTTACATAATATACTCCTTGTAACACAGTCCTTTGAGATATTGGTATTCAGTCTCAATTTCAGATGAGGAAACCAAGATTCAGAGAGATTAAGTAATTTGCCTAAGATCCTTTAGATAGTAAATGTCACAGCTAGAAATGGAATCTAGGTTTTTCATATTCCACAACCTGTGCTCTTACCACTATACCCACACTGCTTCAGAGGCCAGGGGCAGGGTGGCAAGGAGGTGTAATGGAGGCTGTCTAGGGAAAGCCTTCTTATGAAGGCATTTCATGACTGGAAGATAAAAGTCAAATACTGAAGAAACGAAGAATTAGCTGGAAGATACTATCAAACAACATCTATTCAACACTTTTTTTTGTTTGTTTATTGTAGTTTAAGTGAAAGTTTACAATTCAAGTTAGTCTCTTGTACAAAATTTATATATACGTTTTTATGTGACCCTAATTGCTCTCCCTATACTGTGACAGCGCACTCCTCCTTTCCACGCCTAATTTCCCATGTCCATTTAACCAACTCCTAATCTTCTCTGCCTTCTCATCTCACCTCTGGACAGAAGCTGTCCATTTAGTCTCATGTATCTACTTGAGCTAAGAAGCACACTCTTCATGAGAATCATTTTATGTCTCTCAGTCCAGTCCAACTTTGTCTCAAGAGTTGGCCTGGGAAATTGTTTTAGTTCTGGGCCGATAGAGAATCTGGGGACCATGCATTCTGGGGTTCCTCCAGTCTCAGACCATTAAGTCTGGTCTTTTTACTAGAATTTGAGTTCTGCACCCCACCTTTCTCCTGCTCCATCAGGGACTCTCTGCTGTGTTCACTGTCAG